AGTAATATAAAAACATCCTCTCAAGAAAAAGAGAGTATGGCACTTTTACTTCTTGCTGATAATGTATTAAGAAGGTTGAGTCTGTGAAGCAATGTACATGTTATATTCCCACCCTTCCTTTGTAGCAATGTGTGCATATCTAATTTAAATGGAAATTTCTGAACTTTAGCATTTATGACAGCAACACAACTGCCTATTCTAGAAAAATAGTTTTTCACTGTTTGTTTGGTTTGGGTTTGTTTTTGTTTTTTTTGAAAAGAAATGAAACAAGAGCTTGCTTCTCCAAGAAACAGGAGTAAAATAGGCCAAAATCTGCACCACATGACATAGTTCAGATATCATCAGGATCGTTTTCTATCTGTTGAAATTTATTATAGTAGTTTAGTTCCATGAAGGCCCCTGCAATTTTACTCATCCGTGCCATGTACAGCTGTTTTAAAGCTAAGTAACTAAGTACATGCACAGGTTTGTAGCTTTTTGGCTAAATTTATTAAGGGGGGAAAAAAAAGAAAAAGAAAAAAGAACACCAAAAAAACGCCCACATTTAGAAATTCAGTTAGTGCAGTAATGATCCAAACTAAACAATTATCCTTCTAGAGGTAACTTTAACCTCTTCAGCACTCCTTTTGATAGCCTACAAGTTGTTGTTCTAAGTTGTTACTACTAGCGTGAAAGGAGCATTTTCTGCTTTGGGGAAAAGCTTACTGGACAGATAGAAACCAAAAGTCAGCAACATGATGAACATTAATACATGAACATCAGGTAATCTGTGACACTTCTGTTAGTTTGGAAACTGTACAGACAGGAACAATTCCGAAGTTTATATATTTATATGTTAGTATGAATAAACAGTAGTGTAACTAGCTTTGTTATTGTTGTTGTCGTCGTTGTTTAAATAACAACTGGTTTGTCTTGGTGACTAGACTTGCAAACAATTTCCACATCTTCCTCCACTGCCAAGGATCCCTCTTTGTCCAGAGCTCACTGAAGAATTCAAAGACTCTTCTCAGAATCCTGAAGCTAGAAGTGGCTTATGTGCAAAATCCAAAGGGTCATGGACCCTTATAGAAATCAATCCAAAGTGTGCTTCTCTACACATTTATCACTTCTGTCAGTTCCATTAAAACCTTAGTAAGAATTCTGCATCACACTGGAAGAAAATAGGCAAAATAAGAGCTTTGCCACTTTCGATGGCTTGCTCTTTATCACAGGTTATCATCCCAAAGAAGTACTACTTTGTCATTCAATGAAAAGATGTATGTGGATGTTACAGACCATTTTGTGATATACAATCTTTAACTCCTTAAAAAACTCTTTAGATGACCCAGACTACCTTAACAAGTGGTCTACTATTGTTCCACTATTAAGTACTATATTGTTACTTGCAGTGAGTTCCCAGTCAAAGCATTATTTGTACTGCAGACAGTATAAATTTCCTTGTTTCCTACTTGTTACAGTCTGTTATGAACTTTATTCCGTTAATTTTGTCAGCTTGTTTCTACAGCCTTGAAAACTAGGTCTTTTTAAAAATAATTTACTTCCACATTTCACTTTCTTCCATTTTATTACTTCTGACGGGATTAGTGCCTACATGAAAGAAGCGAAAAACATAATAAAATCTTCAGCTTTTTTTTTTTAATTTCAGTGGTATTGATGAACCGTGATTTTAGGGATATTAGCTCTCTTTCGTGTTTGGAAAGGTAGTGTCAAATCTCACTTCTATTTTTAGAAATCATAGGAAAGATTCTTTTGTTTTGTCTGTTAAGTGAAATGGCACAAGCTTCCACAATGCTCAAGATAAGACAACGCTGCTGTAGTCCCTCCATTATTTTGAAGCCATTAAGATCCATGTAAAATGAATTGTTGATGTGGCTGCGGTAATGAAATAGCTAATGCCTAAGCAGCACATTTCCTATCACCTACAATGCATTACTTTTTTAAAGATATCTTACAGCAAAGTAGTGCAGAACTTCACTCTCTCGTCCTGGATGGAATACATTAAATAATACACATTTTATTTTTTTTTAAATATATTGACATAAATATTCTATATTTGTTTTCCAAGATTGTTTCCTGTACTTCCTTTCAGATGCTTATTGCCACATAAAAAAAAGTGTCAAGGTAGATCACAGCTGCTAGTGAATATTTTAATAGTTTGGACTTCTTGTTTGCTATGATTAGAAGGCAGAAGTTTTATGGGATTTGGGAAATTGTTTCTGAGGACTTGATGGGGTAGTTTTGGATCAATCCATACAACACCATCTGTATTTTTATCATCTCAGTGTAAACCTGAAGCTTGGACTGGAGCAGACATAGAAGTCACTGGCCTGTTCCTAACATTATTTTCTGACACAGTCAAGGCACTCAACCTAATCTTAAATACCCAGCTGTTTCTGCGAATGATGAAAAAAAACACCTTACAAGTAAACTACTTGTCAGAGCATCTGTGGATCTTGCATTACTCAGCAGCTATTCTTCTGACACCACACACTTAAATGTTCAATACACTAGTATTTTATCTGCTTACCCTGAGAGGTCTTCAACAAAGGACAAAAATAACCAGCTTGTGGTTCTAGTACAGGCAGGAAGAATTTAATTTTACCTGTTCACACAAATACTCAACTATTTCTCATCCAACATTGTGTAAATATAACCCAAGCTTATAGACAAGGTCAGATCGCTAAATGTATTGAGCTTTCTATTACAGTACAAGAATTTGTTTTAACTTTATTTTCATGTACATTTTCAGAATATATAGAACATAGAAAATGGTATATTTTAAAGGCATATCAGGTAGAAAGAATATCCTAAAATATGTTTGTCCTGTTAAAACTCTAGTTCAAACTGTTTCGGCATTTCTTTTCTTGGTACGCAGAACATTCCCATCTGTTCTGTTCTATGTGGCATCATGTGTATGCTGCGATTTGTACACTGTGGTGTGCGTGCTTTTCACTTTTAATTAAAGGGACAGATCTTTTACTGTGGAACTAAGCTGTGTGTTCATGTATATTTACATCTTTATTTTAAATATTTGCTCTATAAATAGCCTGAGCATCATCAAGGCAAGTAACTGAAGAAGCATCTCTTCAAGTCAGTGGCATAACAGCTTAACTTACAATTTTACAGGACTGTCTTCTAGATATAAGATAGCCTTAATCTATATTTGCCTAAGAATTTCCCTTACTACTTCATGTTTGAATAAAACTAGCAAAATTCCTAGCTAGTAGTCTTATCTGCTTTCAACCTTAAACCTGCATCTGCTTAAGACAAATTCTGCTTACTAGTAAAATTCAGGTTTTGAATCTGAACTGTATTCAGCAAAATGCAGAAACACTTTTTTAGAAAGTAGGGTAATAATTCTTGAAATTCAGAGTATTCCCACTAAGAGGAAAAAAAAAATGGCAAAATACTAGCATCATGCTGGACTGGTGAGAATGCTTTTTACTCACACTGATTTGGGGGTTTACTTCTAATTATTACTGCTAATGTGTTGTCCTGCTTACTTGTCTAATTTCTTGAGTCTTGTTGGGCTTTCTTTGCTCTCAAAAGACAAGTAGTACATGCCAAAGCATTTTAGGATGTTCAAGGAATGGAGACAGAACTACACGACTTATTACTCTTGTTGGAGACAGTTCCTATACAGTTATGCACCTGAACTTTCACTCTGGGAGAAATCAAGGATGAATTATCTGAAGGAATGGGTCAGACCATCAGCTGATGTATAATGCAGTATCAACTTTAGTAGAGCTACTTTGTAAAAATGAATTTGTCCTACATTAAGTGTAAAACCTCATTCAAAACCTATTTACCTTTTTATTGCCTGTGTATTGGGCCAGCTGTAGTGAATATACCGAAATAAACGCATGGTTAGTGCTTTTACAAAGTCAAATCTATATTTAAGCATCAAAGCTGTGACTAACCAGAAAAAGACGCTTCATTGATCCTCCACACTGATCACCCAACTCCAGAATCACCATCAGCCAAAGCCAGTACAACACTGCTGAGCAGTTATGCCTGGTATTACAGTACAGATTTATCTCACAGAGTTACTGAAAAATAAAAATTATCAAGTCATTTTATCGTGAAAAACTATCCTGGAATTCATTATTTAGTAGAGTGTTTAGTGCAAGTAAAATCCACAAAGGAATTTAGAATTAATTTTTTAAAGGCCAATTTCCTAACGGGCAGACTCAGGAGATGCTTTTGTAAATGATATATTAGTTGTGAAATCACTATATAATAAAAGCCCAGTGTAATAAACATGTTGAGTTTGGCTGTAAAAACCTAAATTTGGCATTGCTTGATCACTAATTTGCTTAGAAATTTGCAGGTGTAGACAAGGTAATGTATTTTTTTTCCCTTGCCCTTCCTTCCAGAAAGACTATGCACAATGCAAAAATAAAGAGATAGAGGACTTGAGGGGGGTATTTCTTACTGCTCAGACTGTTCTGGTCCCAAGTTGTGCAGCAAATTTGCTGGAAATTCTCCTGCCAAAGGCTCTGTATGCCTCAATTAAATGTGAAAGAGAATCAAGAGAATCATTTGCTGGAACACAAAAAGGAGTTGTTTACTTTTGCAAAGCAAGTGGTTTTAATAAAAGCTTGATGACACTTACTGCACAGTATAAATAGCAGAACACTAGTCCTCTGCCAGAACAGACACACTGAGTGCAGCTTTGGGCTCTTACAATTGTTCACTTTTTCACTGTGATCTGGGCTTCATTTTTTATTCCCCCTGTATTTATTCCATCCCAAAGGGATACATCTGGTCCAGAAACAGAGTTAGCATATTGCTTACAAATCAATCTGCACGGGCTTTATTTGTCATCTGCTAGAGGCCAGGTTAATGTCTAGTAAAGGGAAAACCATTTATGATGATGAAATATGTAAAAGAAACAATTTGGCTCTTTCCTGCTCAGACCCCGGACTTGTAGGTGCCAGGCATTCCTTAAAACCTGCCTTTTTTTTTTAAATTCTTTTTCATATCAAGAACACAGTACATTTTTAGAGAAACAATACCTTTACTACAAAACCATGTAAATGATTATATACAAAATGGTTACTGGAATTTGGTTTTGTACTGTAGTGACAGAAATAACTGACATTTATTTACGCTTCCTTAATATTAGGTACATAACACCACTGATCAGAGTAAAGGCAAATGCAATCCAGGCTAAGACGAAGGAATAGCCATATCGGCCTTCAGAAACTTCAAAGCTATATTCATTGCTCTTGTGTAGTTCTTCATGCCTGTCTGTGTAAATGGAAGCTGCAATCATAACACACAGACCTGGAGGAGGAAGAAAATAGTAAAGTTTAGCATCTTAAAGTATTAGCAATATGCATAACGACTGTTCACTCTCTGTCTTCTGTCAGCTGCTTCCATCAATGTCCTTTTTTGCAGACACTCATTTTCCACCCTCAAACTAAACTGGGAGCACTTCAGGACATGTTTTCAGTTTCTTTGGCATGGATTCAATCTGAAGTGCTGTTGTGTATTTATGTCATTTGCAATGAACACAAAATGATTCTACACATCTGGATAGTTTTAAACACTAACAAAAAATTAAAGAAGTACCTGCCTGTAACAATTACAGAGTTATTTAATTTGTTCAAGCAGTTCAGAATCTCAGATTCTATCCCTTTAAAGTTTAAATTACTTTTTTCAGAGCAGTGATGTCATCCATGTTTTAACTGCCTAAATAGCATAGAAAGGAGCAGTTTACTGTTTAAACAAACATGAAGGATAAGCTATGACCTAAAGAGCCCTACAAATTTCTCATGCAACTCATTCTTTTCGAGACCTTTTTCCCCTTCCCTTTCCTACTTCCATGTAAACCATTAAAGTCACAAGTGTTGAAAATCACTCACATGACAGGAGCTGGATAATAGACGTTAACACAAATCTTTCTCCTTGCTTTAGACGGAAGAGTTGAAGAATGAAAATCAGAAATGCCACACAACAGAAAATAGTAGATAGGATCATGGTGGCCTGAACAGCCTGAATTGATTGATATTCTGCAAAAACAAAAGCAACCTTGATTAAAAAATACAGTTTCTCTCTTTGCCTACTCCTGCAATGAGCTATGTTCTGTAGGCAGGAGTCAGCAAACCAGTTGTGCATGCGTCGCCCACGGTGGTTCTCTGCTTCCTTAGTATTAATACAGCCAGTGGTTTAAGGACTTTTAAAAGCTTTTCATAAAACTGAATAAAAAGACTGAAGAGACTATTTCTCCCACACCACATCCTTTGCTGCCATCTACATACTAGAAGCACAATGAAACTGCTAGGTGTCCCAAAAGACTTGGAAATGCAGGCCCAAGCTTCTCACCAGACCTGGAGACAGCTCTATCCAGTAAGATGTAACCAGACAGGACATCCACACTCCACACAAGATTTCTTTTGATCCAGGTTTTTTCATCCTATGGATTACTTCTGTATAACTAGGAGCTAAAGCAACCAATAAATTTGAAGCTACATGTAGCTAGCTGCTTTGTGTAACTGCGGCAATGATATGGCCAAGCTAAGGTACATAGGTGACCTCCTCACAGGACCTCTCCCTAGCATGGCTAGACTGCAGTTAGTAGGTCTGTGAACAACAGACACACCTGAGCTACTCACCATCTAGCTAGTGGGTACCTAATTTAATGAATGCATAGAGACGCAGATATCCAATGCAAATTCGTTAAATTCGTGTTAGCTTACATATGCCTGTGTCTAAATGGATCATCTCCCTGCAGCATAGGTATGCTCCAAACCAACCTGATGCTTGGAAAGCAAAGTTACTTTATGGATACATGGCTCTTCAAATCATCTACCTCTTTGATATACACAAAGACAGAAAGTATAGCAATAAAGTAAATGCAACATTTGGAATTTTTTTTTAGTTTTCGTAAAGCAGGATGTTAGGCTGTGCTGTCTATTAAGTCCTCTTTGTTAAAACTTAAGCTTGTGTTCTGACTTTCTTCCACTTTATTCCCCATCCCTGAACGCAGCCAGTATTTTTAAGTCCTTCTTCGGAAGTTAAAGTTCAATTCTGAGACAAATTTTATCACTTCAGCCACACTTTCAGATGACTTCACTGTTTTTACCTGATCTAATTTTTTAAGAACTCTTTAGCACCCTTCATTAGTTGTTTGCATTTACTCTCTTGCACTGGGCTTTCTAGTGCGCCTGACAGTTCCCTCGTTTTCCTCACAGAAACTGTTGGAACAGTATTGTTCTAGTATTAAAGTTTTTAGAAGACCTGAGCAGTTAGAGCATGCAGCTCTTTGAACAAATATATTATTGCCCCTGCAAATTTGTAGTGATTTCACCAGATCTCCTGCTAAAGGAACTGAGACATAGGCACGGACGCAGACTCACCTCTGAACTGATCAGTAATAGCTGTACAGGTGCTCGTATTCGTGGCGCACATTCTCCAGACATCTGTAGAAAAATTATCTCCCACCCACCAGGCCTGCAAAATAAAAGTAAAGGGCTTTTAAAGGAAAAAAAAAAAAACACACCAAAACCACAAAACTCCTTAGTGTCTCCTGATTAGATACATCAGCTGGAACAAATTTCTGTTCGGTTTTGCTAATTAACCATTCAGACTAAATTTGAGATCTAATGGCATTTTGGAATAAAGGGTATATCATTATTCACATGTTATTTTCATTTTAAGCCTGTGTAAAGTAGAAAAGGGAATAATTGGCAATCTTAAACATCCCAAAGCACAAGGGATTTTCCAATGTTCCGGCAGAAATTTTGGATAGTCATTGATTGCTCACTCCTTAAGATACCTAGACAGTATCTGCTTTGCTCATCCAGACTCTGTTTAGCCTGCACAACTCTTTCAAGGCACAGCATTTTTTAATTTGCAGGAAACAGCAGGGTATACATCTATGAAACAGAAGCCCTTTATAAATTTTCCGGTTTCTGACACTGAATTGAATTAATCTCAACTTAATGTAGCCGTGCTGTCCATGTGTAAATGCAGTACATACACTATGGCATCTGACTGGAAGCACCTAGCAACAAATTAAGATCCTCCTGTAGTATTTCCGTTTTGATATTTTGACATTCAATGCAGAACAGTTCTACAGTGACCGAACAGATTTTTACGGTAGCCTGGGAAATGCTGCAAGCACTCCACACAAGTGGCATTTCCTCAGGAAACCCATTCCCATTCCAATCGCTACCCAGGCCTTTGTTTTGACTGAAGTCGGAAAAATACGACTTCTAAATATGGCTCCTGGTAGCATCTGCTGCTTAAACAGACGTTCCAGAAACCTCACAGCTCACTGTACAGCTTTGCGAACAATACTGCAATAAAAACTATAACATATTATGTTAGTAGGCATAGTTATTTTCATGACTATAAAAAGCCTCTGAAGATGATAAAATCTAATAGAAGGTGAGTACACAGTTTAAGTTCATAGTTGCTTAAAAGTAGCTAATGACACAAATCAGAGTATGGGGTTTTATTTCTATAATAATTTGATATTTATGTAGCAGATCTGAACTAAGAATAAGTTGCTTTGTCCACTGTTCTAGCTCTCTAAATATTAAATATAAATATTAAAAGGAGCGGGGTAAGCCAACCTGCTTTAGTGCTCAGTTAATGACCTACTTCAGTGGAACAAATCAACCAGCTGACTGAGAAATAACATCTGAGTTTGTACAATTTTGCAGTGAGAGGTTGTGGGTAACACATCATTTCATTTGGAGCACAGTGTTGGAAAAGACTATGGGATACAAACCAGCTTCACTGAGTACAGTAAAGTATTTTCAGCAGACAATTTTTATAATCCTAAAAGCCTATACATACACCGAATCTATTAGAGAAAGAAAGACTCCAATGCACAGTTAAGATTACCAATCTGGATAGTGGGCTCTTCTGGAAGGAGCAAATTCAATTAAGATCTAGATGTAAATACTGAAAGGTAAATTCTTTCTCATCTCAAAAATAAAAAGGAAATTTGAAAAGAATGCAACATAAATTATTCTGACTGTGCTGAAACTGCTTAACTGAATGGAAACAGACAAATTTATGGTGTCTCTTTTCATGATTTGCTTGGCATCTTGGACAACCACTTCTGAGGCAAAGCACACCTTGACTGAAACTATCCCACGCATTAACCATGAGCTATTTGACTTCATGTACTTGACACAAAGGGATGATGGATCCCCCTCCCTCATATCTAGCAGAACCAAGTCCCATAGCTCCACCCTGCAAGCATTGCAGTATTTGTAAATATACTCCCTGGCCAAGTATCTCACAGGGAAGAAGATCAGCTGCATAACGTGGGCTTATAACATGATGCCATACAAATGTATGGCATGTACTCCTATAGCCTTATCCAGGTATACCAGCAACATGTATATTCAAGGGATTTTTGTTACAAAAAGGTATAAAGCAGACCAGTGTGCCTAACAAAGTTACATGCTTTCAATAAGCAAGTTGAAGACAACTAGATAAGATCAAATTCATTTTCATGAAGCAAAGAAACACTGGTGTGTTTTGAGAGAAAAACAGAATAAATGATACTTACATTGTCAATAGTTGAGATGAACAGCAGTGCTGCTGAGGTTATGTGAAACACAATAATGAAAGCCAGAAGAATCAACATCCTTGATCTGTGGAGGCTTTAGTCTGAGATAAACCTGTTAAAAATACAAGTATACATGATCAGTTTTTAAAAGCTGATCCACCATCATTACTCTATTTCACTGTAGCAGTGAGTAGTCAAGGTCAGCGCAAGCGTATTTCAGAGCGATGTGGTGTTAAGAGTCAGGAAAATCATTCACAGTTCGAGTCCACAGCACACATTCTTTCTCTGGAGAGAAAAGATTTCACGTAATCAGATTTTGCATCAGCATAACAGCTTTCTGTTTGTTATATGTGATACGTAACTAGCATCACTGGTGTTGAATCACAACTTGAAAGGAAGCCAAGAGGTGCATTTTGCAACCTGCCAGTGGGATGGCTGCAGTCCATTCTGTGTGCTTCTCCAGCATGGATATAAAACACTCATTCGTGTTGACTTTGAGAGTACTTTTCAAATTACAGCTTCATTTGCATGTGATGCTAGAATTTCCACTGGCTTTGGTAAGGTCTTGTTTCAACTATGCTTTCAAAGTAGGAAGAAATGCAGAATTCAAAAGGATGCTTGTAGAACAAAAGTAAATGCATCAAGAACTACCTCCTAGATTTAGTAACAGCTATGTTGTACTTTAGGTTTCATATAGGTTGTCCTTTGTGCATATAGCTACAAGTTTTATCTATTGATGAATGTCTTAAGGCTACCATTTTCTCCAATATACTGCTCTCTATAGGGTTGCATAAACCCATTAGTCATGTAATAATCCAGTTAGTTATGTTCAGTCACTTAATACCCTGTATGGTCTACCTATTATCTTCATACCTTACCAATGCATTTATTATCATTTCACATCTCAAATGAAAAAAAGAGAAAATTCTTATGTACAACGGAACCACAAACTGTATTTGAACTGGAACCCCCAGGAAATCTTATGTGGGCACAGAAGAAATAGTTTAGTTAAAACTACTGTTACTAATCCATAGAAATGTACAATTGCTTGGTATATCTATTATCTTTTTCTTCTTGTTTTGTAAAAATGCTTGCCAATTAATATATACTACATTCTATAAGGAATCCGCAGTCTTGCAGATATTTTCTTTGCATTTAATCTGCACCAATCTGTAGCATTATCTGCCTGTTACCACTCATCAGTACATTAATGTATGTTTCTCCACTTCCTTTGCTTTGGACACATTCTCTTATGTCAAATGATCCCACTCAAGTAGCACAGCAAATACCCAGAAGAAAAGGAAGTTATGATTTTTTTTAAGACTTTGGTGATTTTTTTCATGTCTAGCTACTAGTCTCTTACTGTCATTTACTAGAATCATGAACCACATGGAGAATTCAACAAAATAAAAGGACTACTTCGACAGCATTTTTAGAGCAGCTCCACTAGCATTCTCATCAGGCCAAAACACAACTACTCTGCAAAACTTCAACAAAAAGATAACAGACAGCATATGAACATGCTGAATAGGGACTAGAAGTTCCAGATTAATCCTTTACATCTACATCGCAGTATAGTGTTTCACTGCAGTACAGAGTTACAACAAGCACAAAGCCAAACAGTATTAAAGTGCTTTTGAGAAAATGAAAAATGATCAGATAACCTTACATCTCTATCTAATTGGAATGACTGTATGGGTAAGCTAAGTCGAATCCTAAAATAAGGAAAGCAGTTACTCAAGTTTTTATTCCTTCCCATTTTCTCACTGTTAAACTTTGCCTTCTCAGCCACAACAGTGAACACAAGTAGTAATTTCCTCCAAAGAGGTGATTCTGCTGTGTGACTCAAGATCCTCTGAACCTAGTTCTCCTTCTAGAAATGCCATTCATGGCTCTCTATCGAGCCTTTCTTGAATGAAAGGGAGGAAGAAGGAAAAGAAGATATTTTGTGGGTTTGTATAATGCCACATCAAAATATTTTCATTGTGAAATGTACCAGTCTTCACACAGCACTTTCTTGTCTTGTGGTTGGGTTTTTTTCTGAGTTTCATTTGTTGCACAGATGGTATCTAAGCAGACAATGCAACAGGCAGCTGCCATATAAGGAAAGAGAATCAAATTGTACTCGGTATTATTTTAAGAATAACAATACAATTTCATCTTATTACATGAAGCATCATAAAGTAAGAGAGACAGAAAAATGTAACCTAATTAAAACCAATCCTGCAAAATCAAGACTTGCCAGCACAGAAAAATCCACTTAATCTTCAATCAAGTGAATGTTTTTGGTTTACTGCTCTCAGCCACAAACAGAAGTGTTTCAAACAGGATGGAGAAACGTGTATGGGTGACAAGGAGAAGATATTTTATGTTTTACCCAAATAAAGCCAAGATTAAATGAAAGAGTTTTTTGTTTTGTCTTTACAAAAAAATTAAGGACAGTAACAACAGTTCAATGTCTCTGTTCTGAAGAACCTTTGTAACAGCCGTTTTCAGATACTTCCTCCTGACTTGCTGGCAATGGCTCCCTTCATGAGCTGCTACAACTTCTGTGCACACAGTGCTACAACAGCTATACACAGACATGGGAATTAAACACGCTGGGGGAAAGGAAGGAGACAGATCAATTCCAAGTAATTAATACCAGGAAAAGACAACACGAACTTGTTACCCAATCTGTCATGCCTGAGCAGGGATCCCAGAAGTGCACAGAAAGATCTGTGGTCTTTGATCACTCCTAGCAACTTTCTCTCCCTGGGGAGACCAAGGAGTGTCTCTGGTTCATCCGAGGCTGCACAAGGACTAATAGGAGGAGGAGGGTCTTCCAGCTAAACTCCATCTGTGCGCAGGAAGCAAATTGCAGCTCCCTTCTTCTAAGATGCAGCCAGCAATGACACAGAAGCTCCCACAGTATCTGCATCCCTCTCAAGGCAGAAATTATGGACTTCATTTCTTAGCGGGGACTCTTAGCAACCTGTCCTCCTCCACTGCAGACAATGCTGGAATTCAAAAGTTTTATTTTAGAGACTCAAGATCCTTTCACTCTCTCAGGAAGAAGGTCTTCCTTCCGCAATAATGAGGACAGCCTGCCTAGATAACTCTTCTAGCAGCAGGCAGCTCCTTTCCTCTCTATAAGCAAGGGAAGGACTCAGTTACGTTTTCATGTGGAGATTTCTGAGAACAGTGTTTGCATTAACACTCAGAGTTCTTACTTTAATAATTTATTACTAACCAAACACTTTGCTAATATCCTGTTCTGCATACTAGCTATAGTCCTCTTTCTTTCTTATTCAATATGAACTGTTTCTGAAGGGCTCTCTTCAGGTTCACAGTAGTTCCTGGTTGTTTCAGCAGCAGCTGAAGCCCCTGCCAAAGCTTGCCAAACCAACAGCGTGCCACCTGGCAGCAGCTTTTGCTTCGCTCTCTCAAAATGGAGGGTACGTGCAAGAACAAGTAAGCTAGCACTACTGTTTAACCTGGCTGAACTAATTCTGCTCAACAGAACAACCAGCAATTTGGGTTAGATTAAAGTCCTATCATTTCTCATAATTAATGTATGCAGCCACAAGAAAATATTGCTTAAAAGGGCTTGTTAACAAGAACAGAAAATGCAATTTTAAATCACATATATTTGGTACTCTGGTACTTCGTACTACTGCACTGAACAAGAATCTGAAAACAACTATATTAAGATGTATAGAAATGATCAGACTCTTCAAGTAAAACTTTGGTATCAATGTGCGATGTGATGTGATGTGATGTGATGCGATGATTCTGTAGTATTTTTTTCTGTGCTGTTTTGCAGCTTTGGAAGCACTGCCCTGTTATCAGTGCTAATACATGCTGCTATGAAAAGGTTTCTTGCTCTTACAGGAGCCTTGCTCTTAAAGGAGCCATTGTTCAACTCCTCTGTTTTAGTCTCTTGATTATAGGTAAGAATATTTGTATCGATCAAAAAACAGATTCCTGGGCAGAGTCATTTTTTACCTTCTATAATTTGAAGTAATATGCATTATGCTTCCAAGTCAAGGTGTTTATGATTTTTAAGTACACTGCCTTCAGGCACAGATGAAGACTGGGATGATGCAGCAGATACTGTGCATCATTCCCCAAAGTGGTTTGAATTCTTTCAATAGTTTTTACACACACATACACAAAAGAAAAGCAAAGCTTTCTGGACACATTATAGTAGCCTTTTAATGGAAATGATGGAGCAACTCTTCTCACAAGTACGTGATGAAAAGACTAGAGGCAACAGTCATAAGTTACAACAAGGAATATTCCAATTGTGAAAAATGTATTCATTATATTCAATGAGCATGATTAAGCACTGGAACAGGGCCCAAGAGGCTATGGGATCTCCATTCTTGGGCATCTTCATAACTTGACCGAAGCAAGGCCCAGAGCATCCCGAACTAACTCCCTGCTTGGAGCAGGAGTCTGGACTGGAGACCTCCAGAAGCCCCTTCCAGCTCTGCTCTCCTGTCAATCTGTAGCTGTTTCAGGAACTTCCCTGTACTAATCTCCAGCTAAATTCTGACAAAAAGTAACATAAAACTTTACTTAGCTCATCACCTGACATTAAAACTAAGATTTTCGGGTTATAGTAAGAATGACATGGGATGTCAACATGAATTCTTCAATTGCAAGCCTCATCACTTAATATCACTTTACAAAGTATGTTGTAAGGCAGAAATGTACAGGTAGGCTAAGTTAGAAGTGCAGACTGCCACTAAATTCAGAAAGAGTAAGTTATGAGAATCCTACTGAACACATCCAGATTTGTTGTGGTAATAGGGTTTCCCACAACTGCTGTTAAGTTGCAGGACACTTAAAAAAACACATTGAAAACAGAAGGCCAGTTATATTAACAACAAAGATTTTTTCAATTAGTGCAGAAGAACCGTTTCTGGGTAATCCTCCAGCGCTACCTTATTTTGCACAGGGAAGATAAATGCAGCAGACACACTTATCTCTAATTCTTTCAGTAACACAGACCATTGGAAGCAGTAATCTGCACTTTCGTTATGAGAGCCTGATGAGCTTTACAAGAGGTGGCTAAGAAGGGCCTCTGCTATAATCGTCCAGACATGCAGAGGCAAGTACCTTTT